CAGCATCGCCAACGATTATGTCAGCGAGGAAGAAGACAACCTCGCTGAAGAAGAGAGCAATCTCTTAGCAGTGCGCACGAAGCGCACTGCCAGACAAAACAAAGAGTCAGCAGAGAACTTCCTGCTGACTCGAGAAGCGGTAGTCCGTTTCGTTCAGGACTCCATCGCAAATGCGGTGGACCGTCAGAAACGGAACGCAGACAAGAATGGAAGAGCAAATGTTCTTTCATTTAAGGTTAACGACCTAGTACTACTGTCAACGGTAAACCTACCTGGACATGCAGTCACTAGTGTCGGCAGTAGCAAACTACTGCCGAAATACATTGGGCCATTTCGAGTGTTGCATCGCAAGGGCAATGCATACACACTCGAATTGCCACGTAGGATGCGCACGCATCCTACGTTTTACGTGGGGAGGCTTAGGTCGTACTGTCAGTACGAGCCTTCTTCTTCCGATGAAGATAGCCCCCACGTTCAAGAACATCCATCAAGTTCTTGCGTTCGCGCTCCAGACGATCCGTCTGGTCGCGCAGATATGATACCTCGGTATTCAACCGAGATATCTCCCCGCGAGCTGTCGCCAGCTCGCCGAATAGGGAGCGGACATCCCGCTCGACCTGAAGCTGCGCCGTGGCATAATCGGCGCGATCCCTCGCCCGATCAGCCTCGTGACCCTTGCGGTTCTTCCGCACGGTATCGGTCAAAGCGTAGCGCCGATCGCGCTCGTGCTTCAAGTCATCGCGCAATTCATCGATTGCGCGATCCATCTCGTAAGGGTCGAGATGGTGAACAGAATCATCTGGAGGAGGTCTTTCCTCCTCCACCACATCCTTTGGTGGATGCTCACGGTGATCAACGCTTTCTAGTGGAGCGTATCTTGAATCACCGTGACGATTCAGGATCAAGGACGAGCTACCTCGTCCAGTGGCGGGGGTATCCACCCTCTTGGAACAGCTGGGAGCCCCGCTCTCAGCTGTTGATGGATGTTGAAGGTCTCGTCCGCCAGTATGACGAGACCCATCCGATGAGTCCTGTGGCCCATCGGTAAACACGCGCCCTAGGCGCTTGTAGACGGATTGCAAGTTTGCAATCGCGTCACGCATCTCAGCCGAGATGTGCGCCCTTCCCCAGGGCGAATTTAGGGAGTACACATCCCTATGTGCACGCTGCGAGTTGTCAACACAACTCGCACAAGGGTCTCCCCATGTGAGGCAAGGAATGCCTGCCTCACTCGATAAACAATGCAACCGGTACCTAGCACCGGTTGGCGTTCGCCGTTCGAACCTGAGGCGTGTTGCCTCAAGTTTCTTGAGCCACCCTTCTCGTCCAAAATTCTTTACGTTTTGGACGAACGCGTTCCACGCAGCCAAAAGCGATGTTTTGTCACGCTTTTGGTTGCTGTTGTACCATCGATGTCTAAGAAAGACATCGAGATAAAAATCTTCTTCAGCGCGAAAGTTCTTCGCGCTGGAACTCAAGCCGTGAAGCTCGGTTGCATCGAATAAGGGTATTCGATGGTGTTGGCCTGTCTCGTGAGACAGGCTATTGATGAGTTGTTCGGGCAAACGCCACGGCTTCAACTCATCACGCTTCACAGTGGTACCCTTGTCGGTACCACGACTCCCAGATTGACGACGGCTCGCGCCATCGTCATCACGCTCGTGCGAAGACGCACGAGCCGGCGGTGGTGAAGAATAGAACTCACCACCCTGATCATCATCATCATCACTGCCGAACAGACTGTGATGCAAATCACGAGTCCGTTCGTTCGGCAGTGGTCTTGGCGAATACTGAGGCGTCGCCGGTGAGCGAGACGCCTCTGGAGCATTGCCCGAGTCAGACACGTCTGACTCGCCAGAGTAGATGACCTCTACATCAGGGTCATCGTGCGCACGCGGTGTGATACCGCGTGCACCTGCAGCACCTGTTGCTGCAGGCGAAGAAGGGGCGGCAGACGACGAAGCGTCTGCCGCAGAGGCTTGCACAGCACCAGGCTGTGTGGGTCTTGAGTCACCTCGCATAGACATGTTAACTATGCGAGGTCAAGCGGAAAGTGAATGGAACGGACCCAACAAGTGCTCCCAGTCCCAATGGTGGCCAACGGGTGGCCTCCATGTTTTCGATAGTCACACGGTGACTATCAGTTAAGGGGGGGTGATGTAACGGGGCAGCCCGTTACATGAAATTGTCACTTTAAGGAAAGTGACAATAAAGAATATAAAGATGGATATTCTTTAAAACAATATCACCAAAGTGGTGATATTGAAGGGTCGACCAAAGGGTCTGTTCATTGGTTGATATCGTGATGATATCAACCCACCAATCGCCGCAAGACGCGCGCAATGAGTGGTGACGAGACGTCACCATACATGCAGTTATATTAGTATAATTGAATTAAGTCAAACGAAGAGACAGTAGTTTAAAGACTTAATTTATTAATATAACAGTTCTACTTTTACCCTACCTACGCTTCCTCGCTTGCCACGTGTACGTCCGTCGGGGCACCCAAATCCCTTGCGTTAAGTTACGCAAGGGTGTGCCCCGTTACATAGGGTAAAAGTAGAACTGTTATATTAATAAATTAAGTCTTTAAACTACTGTCTCTTCGTTTGACTTAATTCAATTATACTAATATAACTGCATGTATGGTGACGTCTCGTCACCACTCATTGCGCGCGTCTTGCGGCGATTGGTGGGTTGATATCATCACGATATCAACCAATGAACAGACCCTTTGGTCGACCCTTTAATATCACCACTTTGGTGATATTGTTTTAAAGAATATCCATCTTTATATTCTTTATTGTCACTTTCCTTAAAGTGACAATTTCATGTAACGGGCTGCCCCGTTACATTTTGTGTATGATCGAAAGGAGTCGTCCTATGGGGTAAGCTCCGAAGTCAGTTGCAGAAGTGTGTACAGTCTAATTGTGGTCGAAAGTATCGGACGAGGAGCATTGGCAAGTTGTCTCGGTGATGGCCTGCATGGTAAGCGCACGCATTGTACATTTTGAAGTGACGCGGAATGACTGACGGCAATCCTGCCGGCATTCAATGTTGAAAGTGATATCTTCGCGGATGCCCATCGCGATGACATGCGCGCTCCGTGCAAAACTCGATCGCGTGATCATATCGTTGCTAGGAAGTCTCGTGCGTTTTGGCACATGATGGGTGCTTTTCCATCTCGTACTGAATGGTTCAGCATATATGACATGTTTGCCAAAGTCACAAGGTTTGAGCTGCGACATCCGACGCGTAAGTTGTGTCAAATGTTGTGGTGCCGCACTACCTTCTGGCGCCAAAGGTGCTGACATTTGTTGTCCGGCTATTGGTATCCATATGTTGTGGCATTCTTTGGCTCAACGGCGTGTGTCATGGGCGGCAGGAGTGTAACACCAGTCGATTCAAGGTCGTGGAAAGTATACGAAAAGTACGGGCACAATCCGCATCGATCAATAAATGGCGGTAGCGGTGAGAATTCGTCTGCGCACAAGCGACATTGCACGCCGAGCTGCACTGCACTGCAAGTTTGTTGATTCATTTAACACGAATATTCAGTTTGACATCTGCGTTAAATGCAGTTTGATCACACGACAAACCGCGTGCGTCACCGATAGTTGCTAAGCAAAACGATATTCGTCATACATCGTCCAAATCGCAGCTTACGATTTCTGACCGCGCGCCAGTATATGGACGACGAGACAGAAGTCGTCGCAAGGTCATTTCGCCGCACTCGCTTTCGGTGCGTCAATCTCGATATGCGCGTCGATAGGCCGGTTGGATCCGGCTCGTGATTTCGTCATGATGCCGCTCCGCGATTTTGTTTGGTAGAAACGAGGCAAACGGTTAGGGCTAGAGGGAGAGCAAATATTCAGCCAGGTGCGTGTCGTCCTCTGGTCGTAACCTGATCGAATCTTGTCGCGTCGCTGGATTCGAGCGCTAGATATTTGAGCTGTTGAGTCAGCCTCTTACTTGACTCAAAAGTGGGACCGCCTCGATAGCCTACAGGCAACGAAAAAGTGGCCAGACTATGTCGATTACTACCTCCACGCGAGGTCCGAGGTAGCTCTTGTGCCGAATCCCGTTAAACACGCCGAACACGGCAAACGTCATTCGAAACTCGTGACTCATCTGCGGCGCACTTGCTCGCCACGCGATCCCCCTTGCTTTGCTCGGCGAAACGTGTGTCACATTACAACAACCTAAGCAAAGCGAGTAGAAATTGGACGAGCGCTGCCTCCTTTACTACAATGAGTCAATTGGGTTCACCTGCCTTTCCCTCCGTGCGTCAGGAAGAGAGCCGTTGGGCTCTTCGGGAGACTGAAACTGGACACATCAGTATCCTGCCAGCCGGTGTTAGTTCGAGCATCCGGTCAGCCTCCACACACGCACGCGCAAGGCCATCAACATTTCGTTGTTTACGACAGGATCGTCTCCTCACCGAGATAAAAACGAGGGATTGCAATCGTGTTGTCGACAGCGCATCGGGCAGCTGTAATGCCTTGCAAGCTGCAAGCAGTCGAGTCGAGCCTTTTAGTCACCTAGTAAACGCTGCACCAATCTTGCATTCAGCCATGTTCTTCAAAGTAGTACGACGGCGGATGGCGGTCCGCGGACCGTGGCTGCCAAAGAAGTCGATCGTTCATACAAAAAGGATTTGCATTGAGATTCGGGTAGCGGATCAAATCGCAGTTACGCTGCTCATTCGGGCGTGTGTCATCGTGCACTTGCGACCCGACCATAGCCTTCGGTACGAAGCCGACTCGTTACAAGCTGCTGAGTCAGTAAGTCAGTCGGCCCCATCCACCCCAAAATCTCCTCGACGCGTCAACGGCTGCGTACGCTCTGTGCGGCACTATTAAAGAAGCCAGCAGCTACTCACGAACACTTTCGTTGGTCTCCGCGCGTCGCGCGTCGCTCGTCGACATTCTCAAAATTCCTACTGTCTGGTTCGTGCTCGACACAGTCTCGAAAACGCACAGCGCGCAGATAACGCCACCATGCAGGACGTGCGTGACCAACCGAGCTATCTACTGCATCAAAGCGCCGAGCTATCGAGCGGCAGCATGAATGAAGCCCGAGCAGACGAAGACAACGGGAGCGTCAACGACAAGGTGCTGCGGCGGCGTCTCCAGTACAAGATCCACCAACGTCGTCATCGAGCGAAACAAAAGGAAAAGGCAGCCACGTTGGACGTTGACGTGCAACAGTTGGCGGCTGAGGTCGAGACACTGAACCACAGACGGCAGGCACTTGTACTGCATAGCAATTGTTTTGCATCACGAGGTACGATCGGAGGCGTGCCGGCCCGAACGGCCTTGGAATACTTTCGGCTGTTCCAGCTCGGGGTATCTCTGCGGTGCATCGACCAGCAAGAGCATTTCTTGCGCGTCATCATGACACCCGAAACCAAAGGCCCCGATTATGTGGGCGTGGACTTTATCGTGACACAGTGGCGTCGGTATTGCAATTTCTATGCCTACACGAGGTACGAGCCACTGGGCATAAACATCACGACTGTTGGCGACCTTACGGTCGTGGAGGCCGACAGCATCTTCAGCATTCGAGCTCGACGGGACGGCATTGTCACGCTCTATCCGTCGCTTAATGGCAACCCGGAGCTTACGCAAAGACTCTCAGGGAGCGTCATCAATATCCACGTCAAGTATTGCTTCACGTTCGACTCGGCTGGCTTTGTCACGTGGTTCAGTGCAGAGTGGGACCTGGTCGACGCTTTGCAACGTACGCTGGGCAGTCTAGAGGACGTGACGACCCTCTTGTCAAACGCGAACATCTCGTCGTCGACGGGCCAGATACGCGTGCAGGAAATGTCCGTGCCGGAGATGAAACCCCGCACGAATCCTCGGCACGACGTCGACTTTTTACTTTCGTAAACAGTGTCTGTGTTTGTGCCGGTCGTCGCCAACGCATTGAAAGAGGCATCAAATACAGTTTCCATTGTTTCCAACAGATCTCGTGTCGACCCTCTCATCCTTTCCGTTGACGACGCACTGCCAGGATAGGCCAAGATCTGGGTTTGGAAACATCAATTACGGCGGATCCTGAGCTTCCGTCGGAACCGTTTGCTCTTATCGCACTTGCAGCACCGTGATGTTGCGTAACGACTCGGTAGTGTATCAGCAGATATTTGTACAACTGCGTGGTCGGTATCAAGTACTTTTTTAGGAAAGTTTGGTCGTATCGAAACGCCTCGGCCGTGTGTCGACCTCAAACTCACAACGAAAACAAACTACATGCACATCAGTTTATAAATGCCTGCATCATGGCTTTACGTACTAGTGTGCGTCCTACGCGGTCATAATAGTGCCGCTGCTGAGGGCAAGGTTTCCACCTTTCGTAAGTTGCTCGACGCTGTCTAGGGAGCCGAGCACTCGTCGCAGCGTTTCCAAAAGCTGGAGCTTTACTATCAGCTTGTCCACATGGCCGGTGCGATCCACGGTGAACACGAAAGTACCAACGGCGACCACAGTGTCCGCGGTGAGGGACCGCACGACGTCCAGATCCACGGGTCTTGTCTTTTTAAGACTGGGGAAGAGCTGTTCGATGTTGTGGTGACGGAAGCGAAGGTAGAGTAGCACTTTGACCTCAACTGCAACGGATTGGTCTCCGATACTTTCTATCTTCCAGGCTCGTGGCTCAAGGACGCACTGTGCGAAATGCCGATGATAAAGACGCCACTGGTGTACGAACGCGTCGACACCGTGCAGCTCAGCGCCCACAACGTCAGTCGTCAAGATTGACCGCAGAAAACGCTCTTGTAGCTCAGCCAAGGGTAACGAGTACCCGAAATGAAACACGCGGAAAAACTGCATCACGATTGACTGCGCATTCTTCTGCAGCGCCTTTTGCTGCATTTGCGATCGCTGTCGGCGTTGATTATCAGCATTTGCTGCCATCACTTTGCGGTGATGCAGGTCTCGATACAGCTGCGCGATCTTCAGCTTCAGAGCTTGCACGTCGTATTCAAAGTTATAAATCCGCTGTTCTCGTTTCGCACGGTGCTTGCGTTGGTAAAGTCGGTCCTGAAGCCGCTTCTTCATGGCACGCATGGCGCGTTTTTCGTCCAGATTGTCGTTCATCAACAACCGATCATTGGTTTGCGCCAGCGTGCACCGAAGCTCCTGGTTGCAACGGTCGACTGTGGCAACGGCTGCCATTGCTTGCGATTCAAATGATTGACAGTTACCTTTGCGGTCACGAGATGGTTTCAAAAATGACTTCTAGTCGCTCGACTGTCTAAAGCTGCCGAGGCTTCAACGCATGCATAGATCCCGCAGCGCTGTAGCCGAGATTTCCACAGGTGATATATGAAGACGTGGGCAACGTCTATGCGTTCGCGAGGCGGCCGTTGTAACAGTCGCGCCGAGTCGGCGGCTAAACGGCCTCATTGACAGTGCGTCTGGACCATAAATCGTGTGGAATCGCCATTGCCGTCACGGATGGTCAAGCATGTCGAGTGCTTTCGGCTTTTTGTCGTACCTTCGGCAATCTGAATACGAGCCAAGGCGGGTATCATGCGGTCGACGCGTACATCATCACGCTTTATACCACAACGTCGATGTGATGGAGATGCGTAGCCCACAGAGCTTTTGTGCAGCTCTAAACTGTCCACCGACCTTGTAGCTTGTTGCGTATTTTTGTCCGGTACGTGGCGGTTTGACGAAACGTAGAAAAACAACGAGTAGGACTCGAATGCTGGCGAGTAGCGAGTCGTTCGGAGGACTATAGCTGAGCTACTCCACCTCAAGAATCAAGAAAGTAAAGCGAAGATACTGCTTCCTGCCTCGTAGCTTCGTGTCGACTCGGAAATGAGGCACGAGGGAGAAACAAATGACTTGACGCACATGGTGTCGTTACGTTGATCGCTGCATCGGTTCGATGCTTTCCACCGTTGAGGTGGGACGCGTCACCACTGTTGTCATGGTAAGTTTGACACATATGCGTGAGAAAGGGTCCGAGTGTCTCAGCACGACCCGAGCCAACGTGGAATGACTGTCTAACTGCGCTAGAAAAGTAAGCGATCTTGTTGATGCAACGCATGTAGTAAGGCACTGTTTGGTACTACGCTACTCGTACACAGAGGAGGGACGGGCGCTACATGAATCGGTACGTAAAGGAACCTTGCGTACGCTGTCTAACGCGTATCTATTTGTACCTTTTGGTGATCTAGGCAATGCGTTCACGAGCAACGTATTCAGGTTATGAGTGGCAAGTCGACGGTGCATTTCGTTTTGTACTGATTGGTGCTTCGTCTAACGATTATTTGAGGAGGTGAAGTTTGGTACATGGCATTCATTTGGGAGCTTCGTTGGTATCGATGAATGGCTCAAGTAGACCAATTGCGACGAACCAGGCACTCAAGGTAGATGTAGGACGAGTGTAATGCGGGACGAGACGGGAGCGGCCGCGTATGCGAATACTGCTAACAATCACCTGAAAGGGTAGAAAAAAGAGAGGGAGTACACGTTGTTTGTTTGCGACGAATGTCGGTACAAATTGCGTGCAAAGGGTCACAGTCATGTTGACGTTGACAGAACTGGTTTCAAGCGCTGAACTACAAACGAAAGTCGACTCATCTTCACTTCGTTGCAGTTGCTAACGCTGATCGTATGGCGGGGTGGATTCGAATTGAGGTGGCAATGACGCACAAGGCGCGTGCTTGTCGTTTTGGCGGTCATTACAAAGGCGGACCAGGTTGACGAACAAAACTAGATCGAGGCAAGAACCGTACCCAATCGAGTATCGACCTAGCTTCCATACATTGTTGATGCATGAACAATGATAATATTTGCCGCATTTGTCATGTCGAATCGACATTGATGAACTCAACGAGAAGCTAATGTACCCACAGCGCCAAGAACTGACCAACTAATTCCCAGATTTATTTTGCTGCAATTGAGCGATGGAGACATGAAAAATATCACGATCCGGCCTTCTTTATTCTCAAGAGCCTGATGATATCCAGATTGGCCATCGGATTTGTGTCAAGAAACAATGTGGAGCTGTAACACACTTCAACGGACACAACTGATTCATCTTGACGACGTCGCGATGGCTAGGGGGCGACAACGTTTTGTCATACTCATTGTAGGTGGTCGAGGATTGGGATTCAACGAACAGTTGTGTGCTGAAGCAAATATACAAACAATGGGCGTTATCAACGCGGAGTAATATGGCCCATCCGACGACGAGTACGGCTGGTCGCTAGACAAACAAGATCGGTTGCATTCGCGATTCAACGTATGTCAATGTAAAAAAAAACGATCGCACTTCACCTAGAAACAAATTAACTTCACGAGGTGAACGCAAAGGCCTTCGCATCTACCTTGGCTACTATAAAAACATGCACCGTGGTATGATTAGCAAGCTTGTAAAAGCCCGAAGCGACCCAATTCATTACCACCTATATTGACCCATACATCGTTTTTACTTGCGCCCAATGTACGCTCCACTTCGTAGCTATCGTAAGATTGTGCTTGCAACTCCCTCGCTCGCTAGGTCGTCATTGTTGCTACTCAAGAAAGCAAAACACGGAAATAACCAACTCGCCTTTTACATCGACAGATGCGAAAAGGCGGCAAGCATATCGCAATCGTGTCGTCGCAACTTTTGCATGAGCCAAAAAAGGTTTACATTGGTCGGAGTAATTAGTTTTTCTACCATGTACACTGACAATTCTTACATGTCCGGCGCACGCGTCTCTTTTGGTATACGTGTTCATTACAGCGTGCTGCAACGAGATCACGCCTCAGATGTGGTCTGAGAGTGACCTTGTGCTTCGTCTTTCATCCAACAACCTTGTCTATGCCACACACTTGTGCAGATGAAATGATATCATGAGTGTGTTCGAAAGAAGAAGAGAAAAAAATGCGGCGGTACAGGTCCGTTGTATCAGCGATTTACTGACGATCACGATGCGCTTTGTGTATGCAACACGTCCGAGCTTTAAATTATCATGCCTATGCCAGCTCTTTCAAAATGAGAAGGACTGCCAAGTCCCAAGTAAGTTGCGTATCTATGCGCACGAGGCATATTGGGAACGTGTCGATATCTTTGTTTTATGTGTGCTGGATGTGCGATAGTCACCCGAGTTGTTGTGATCGGTTCGCAGTCTAGCCTTATACATCTATAATAGTCTCTTGGCCCATCAAATCACTGGTGGTCTATCCAGATACATCGCCTGGGCTCTGCAGAGCGCAGGTAATTGTAAGTCGAAGGAGCTGCCCTGCATATACCGATTGCCGGCATTTTTACCAGCACGTGTACGCCACACGACGACACTTTCCAGTGGTATCGAGTGCAATCGCTTCATCGACACAGCAGTAGCTACTCCTTCTTTGTTGATTTTGTCGATCACCAAAGTGACAGCCCTCATCCGATGATAGTAAACCGCAGTCTTGAAACTTTGTCGAAATGTCACCGGTGTAACGGGGTAGCCGGCTACATGAAATTAATAGTATGAGTGAGAAATGGTAATAAAGAATAGTGTGTTATATATTCTTTTAAGAATAGCACTAAATACAGTGATTTTGTTGCGATGGCCGAAGGGTATACTCATTGGTTGATATTGTGACTATATCAACCTACCAATCGCTGCTGACGCGCACAATGGGTGGCAAGTAGACGTCATCATGCGTTTAGTAATATTAATATAATTAATGTAGGACAAATCAGACAACAAAAGATATTGAACTTAATTGTGTTAAATAACAGATTTGCTTTTAATACGACTTAAGTCTTCGTCTCAGTCATTTACCCTTCCTCTATACAGTGTATATACTTAGAATGGAAATGACCTTCACTGTTGTCAGTGAGAGTTGGCTTCGTACTGGTAGTCTAGTACGTAGCGATCGTGCCCCGTTACAACCGGTGTCTATTTTACAGCGCAAAATGATTATCGATATTAGCAGACATTGTGCCTCGTTTACTGTCATATAAAGAAATACAGATAGGCCAAAATTCAGTGACCACTTTCTTAAAGCTTACACAATTCCAATCTTACGCAACTATTTTCCGTTCTACAAGAAGATAGTACTGTTGTGATAGCTTCGATGTCATTCGAGCTCCCATATACGCGTAGAGCATGCCTTTCGCACGTCAGAATTAAGCTCATATCTGACGAGATGACGATTTGCTCTGTGCGAGGAACCTCTGTTCACTCACCGCTAACCAGAGGTATTGATCTACCACTTAGGTTGAGTAGTTGCGAGAGTTGTTGAGTAGACAAAGCCTTTGTAAGGAATTGAGCAAGCAGACTTTTCAAGTTACGTGCTTCAATCGATCATCTTGATTGCAACAAGATAAGGCACAACTTTGGCACAAATGTCGACATGTTTTGCGCGAGACTTTATCCTTGACACATTGCCATGCTTATTGTGTACTTGCTATTCGCCAGGATAGGAGATGCACCGAAGTTTAAGCTCTCGTGGAACATTCCGTACTTACATGACCTCTTGAGCGGCAAGGCATGTGGCACTACATCAAGCTTTATCAACGCAAGGGACACTGAAGATCAATTTTCGCTTCCTTGATCACTCAACCATCGCCAAGCGATATCATCACACGAGGGGTCGGCCGACGTGTTTACTTGAGCCGCCCCTGTTTGCGCAATCACAAGATGTAACGGAGCACTGGTGACAACGTACTGGTTGACCATTACAAACCTCACTTCCACTGACAACAGTGATAGTCAGTGCCCTGCTAAGTGTTGCACCAACACAGAGAAAGGAAAGAAGACTAGTGAACATGCTAGTCTCTTGTTGAAGTAAAACTGTTATTTACCACAATTAAGTCCTATCAATCTTATGTCTTTGTTTATGCTGACTTAATGATATTAATCTAACTAAACGTATGATGACGTCTACTCATCACCCATTGCGCGCGTCTATCAGCGATTAATGGGTTGATATCATCTCAACATCAACCAATGATTAGACCCTTCGGTCATCTCTAACAATATCATCATGCTCTGTGATATTTTTGAATGAATATTCAACGTAATATTCTACATTTCCATTTTAGCCTAGATGAAAATAATATGTAACGGGCTATCCCGTTACACAATATCGCATGTATGTAAAATTCGAGCTCGAGTACAAATTACTTGTTTGGCGATGTCTTGACCAACCTATGATAAATGGTGCACAGTAATGCGTCA